TTTTTTATTTCAGTCACTCCTGATAAACAACAAATTTGAAGAAATAATAAATATCTGAAAAATAAAAATATACAATCAGAATGTTGTGTTAAAATTTTCTTGAATTAAATGTGTGCTTTTTTCTGTGTGGTTATGTAATAATTAGATATAAAGATATAATTATTTTAATTTAAAAATATATATATATTTAAATATATTTTATTGACGAGGAAGGGAGAGAGACAGAGAGTCAGAAACATCGATGAGAGAGAAACATTGATCAGCTGCCTCCTGCACATCCCCCACTGGGGATATGCCTGCAACCAAGGCACACGCCCCCAACCGGAACCGAACCCGGGACCCCCTAGTCCGCAGGCCTACGCTCTATCCACTGAGCCAAACTGGCTTCAGCTAAAATATATTTTTATTGATTTCAGAGAGGAAGGGAGAGATAGAAACATCAATGATGAGAGAGAATCCTTGATTGGCTGCCTCCTGCACCCCCCACATTGGGGATTGAACTCGCAACCTGGGCATGTGCCCTAACCAGGAATCGAACCGCGACCTCCTGGTTCATAGGTTGATGCTCACTGAGCCACATCAGCCGGGCTGATGTTTAAGAAATTTTTGAGTTACTTCTATTTTTCAAATATTAAAATATTTTTATTAAATTGAAAGCATTTTACATACTAACAAAAAGAAATCAAACATGTATACAAATTTCTATGCTTTTTCCCTCTTTCCCAGACATATCCATTATTAAAGGATCTGTTTTTATGTGCCCATATGACAAACACATGTAATTGATAATTTGCTATCAACTGAAATATTATTTAAATGATGTGAAAGAAAACAGAAGCATTTTCCACAGATGATCCTATTGACTAAAAATGTTTTTAGTTTTGTCTTTTTCCAATCTTGACAACTTTTAACACTGCAACCACAATACTATATGTTGTAATTTATGTTCTACTTTTTTTTATTGTAGTAAAATATACATGACATAAAATTTACTATTTCAACATTTTAAAATGTATAGTTCTTTGGCATTAAGTACATTCACCATGTTGTGCAACTATCAGCACTATCCATCTCTAAAACTTTTTCATCTTCCATAACATATACTGTTAAAAAATGAAACATTTTTGTATGTACTTTTCCTTGAGGCTGAAATATTCGTATTAATAATAATTAATGGATAGATAACATTTCATCATTTATGTGCTATAATGGACCGAAGGTGCTAGGCTGTTGCCAGTTTCTTATGGTTATTAATACAGGTTGTAGTCACAGTTGAACATGTAGCTTTTGTTCTTTAGTATAAATTTCTAGAAGAATATTGCTTCCCCAGAGGGTACATTAGTCTTCTGGAGCTGCAATAATGAAATACCACAGACTGGGTGGCTTAAACTAGAGAAATTTGATTTTCTGAGATCATTTGTTTTCTCACAGTTCCGGAGGCTGGAAGTCCAAGATCAAGGTGTCAGCAGGTGTAATTTCTTCCGAGGCTTCTCTCCCTTGGTGTGCACATGCTGCCCTCTTGCTGTGTCTTCACCTAGTTCTATCACTGTGTGCATGCATCTCTGGTGCTTCTTCCCCTTCTTATAGTGACACTAGTCTTACAGGACTAGGGTGCCACCCTTATGACCTCCTTTAACCTTACCTCTTCTAAGGACCTGTCTCCAAAGACTGTTAGGCTTCAATAACTGAATTTTGGGAATACACAATTGAGTTCATAATAGAGAATATGAATGTTTTGTGTCTCTTTATTTGAACTTCCAAATAGTTCTGTTTTATCAGGTTTTATGCCAATTTAAATAACAGTAAATAAAAATATCACCCATCACAACTTCTGCCACTGTCACACTTGCTGTGAAATTTATTCAAGAAATCAAATCTTCTGAGGGGAATTTATCTCATGAAATGTGTGAACTCTAGTGTGTAGCCTCTAAACTGTCTCCATTTTCTTATTGAATAAATTATTTACAAAATATCTTTGGATGGATGGAAACAAATTTTAAATTAAACCTTATCTCATACCTTGTTTGAGAGAGTACAAATTGTTATAAATCTTATGGAGGTCAATTTAGCAATACTGATTAAAATTAAAGAATCATAAAATCTGGATTCTGGAAATCTATCTGAAAGCTATAGTTGTACATGTATGAAGTAATAAATAGGGAAAGTGATTTGTAACAGCAAAAGTTTGGAACAAACACTCCAAATGTCCATTAATTAACAGGTGCTTGATTAAATGAATGTGGTACATCCACACAGTACATTCTTAATGTCTGTAAACATGAATGAGGAAGCTTTCCATATACAGAGATGGAAGGCTCTCAGGCATTTACTAATTATACAGAAGGAGGTGTGCCTGTAAGCATGTGTGTATTCACATGAAGAAACACTGGAAACACATAGGAAACTAATCAAAGTTGGTTACTTGATGGTAGGCATTGGGACTTGGGAATAAGGCTCTTTATATTTCTTGATTTGGGAATAATGTGAATATATTGCTGTTACAATAAAATAAAATGTGTGATCATGTTTTGATTTTTTTTTTGTGTAAGTCCCAATGTGCCTTTTATTCTACCTTGCTTTTTTGGAAATTTTGACTTTGTTTACAGTATGTGGTTGTTCACCAGGTATGTTAGGGAGTATAACATACATACAGTCACCATGTCCCATTGCTATCAAGTACATAGAAGAGAGTAAAATTGTAAAGCAGGTTTCTCAGACTAGTTTTTTAAAACATAATTTATGCCTTGGTTTATGATGATTAAAACACTCATACATAATTGCAAATAAGAAACCTTTTAAATGTAAAACAGTTGGCATAAGTAGGTGTTTTGTGCCCATGGTCCAAAGACCAAACATTGAAAATCTTTAAATTAAACAATTTGTGGCCCTGGCCATTGTGGCTCAGTTGGTTGAGTATCATCCTATGCACTGAGAAGTTGCAGGTTCGATTCCTGGTCACAGCACATGCCCAGGTTGTGGACTCGATCCTCACTCAGGGTTCCTGCAGGAGGCAGCCGATCAATGTTTCTCTCTCATATGGATGCTCCCCCCCCCCACCCGCCCACATCCCCGTCTCTCTCTAAAATCAGTAAAACCACATTTAAAAAATTAAATTAAACAATTTGTCATTATTAGTTGCTTGTTTTCAGACAACTGGTTTTTGCTAAGTTTTTGCATTTGTTTAATTTTCTGTTTGGGCATTATGCAAATATTTGCTTAAAAAAACACTGTGGGGTTGATTTTTTTAAAAAGTGAAACTTAGACTTCTTTTTCCTAATTACTCTAATTTTTATTACCATTTTACATCACCAAACCAAAACCAGACTTCCTTTTATTGTACATTAATCACAAGGATCAAAGATTTACAATTCACATAAAAAAATGCAGTACCAGCTCTTCACCCTGGTAGATAAATTTGGCTAATTGCTTACACCTGTTTCAACCTATAGACTAATTGTTTGGCTTATGAGCATTAACTAAGATAATGATTCTCATTTTGCTTCACAAGAGGAGGTGTTTTAATTTTAATCATGGTTGCCACTATCTGCTAACCCTATTGGGTGTATTTATTAGCAACTATCTATATATAGAAAAGCCCAAGTGACCAAATAACTGGTCAACTGGTTATAGGACATGCACTGGCCGCCAGGGGGCTCAATGCAGGAGCTGCCCCCTGGTGGCCAGTAAGCTCCCACAGCAGGAGCGCCACTCAGCTGACGGATGGATGCCAGATGCAGGGTGCCACTGTGGTGGCACAAGCCTCTCCCGATTGGGACTGATTGGGTGCAAGCCTATGGCAGGCACAGAGGGGCTGGGTGAGCAGAAACAGCAGGCAGGAGCAGCAGACGGTGTTGGACTGCTGGTTTTGGCCCGATCCCTGCAGGCCATGCTGAGGGACCCCACTGGTGAACAAATCTGTGCACCAGTCCTCTAGTTACTAATAAACTTGCATCATGTTATTTAAAGAATTCCCAGGGAATGAAATGTGATACTTTAATAGGATTCTTTGAAATTCCAACAGGATTTTGTGGATTTGTTGAATTTTTATTTATTTATTTAAATATTTTTTTTTTTATTGATTTCAGAGAGGAAGGGTGAGGGAGAGAGAGATAGAAACATCAATGATGAGAGAGAATCGTTGATTGGCTGCCTCCTGAAAGCCCCCTACTGGGGATCAAGCCCACAACCCGGGCATGTGCCCTTGACCGGAATTGAACCCGGGACCCTTCAGTCCGCAGGCCGATGCTCTATCCATTGAGCAAAACTGGCTAGGGCTATCTGTTGAATTTTTAGATACTATTTTATCTCTTTCCTTGTTGTCTTTCTCCTTCCTTTGTCCTCTTTTAATTTGGTTGATATGAAAATGCTGCAGTAATCACAGGAGCTTCCTTTGCTGCTTTACTCCTTTCAAATCAGGTGACAGTAGCTTTCTCTTGAAACACTTGTGCTCATGAAATTGGCAGCCCAATCTAAAATGTTGAATAGTTAATTTAATTGACTCTTATAATTTTCCATTTAAATAAATTAAATTTCTCTGGATTCTTTTTTTAAAAAGCACTGAGTGTAAATACAGAGTTTGCTTTCCAAAAATACATGCTATTAAGATGAAACAAGAAAAAGAATAATTACGCTGTGATTGATTACTAGGCTTTCTGTGCAACACCTCTCAGGAAAAATACTCTCTTCAATGGGTGTGCAGTATGAAAAAGGAAAGTACAGCCGAAGATTAAAGCAGAACCCATTCCCTTGACATTCAGGATGCAATTCATTTAATCTTAACAGGATTTCAAAGGTCTTTTCTTTTTCTTGAACTACTTGTTCATAAGAACAAAGGTGCTGTGGCAGTTTTTGCATTATGTTAGTCAAGGAAATCACAACTCTTGACTTCAAGGACTTAAATTGCCACTTCATTTTCTGATGGGCTGTTTGAAGATAAAGATACAATACTAATATACATTACTAACATAATTATTTTAAAATTTTTTCTCTTGTTTCCTCAGGTTGGAGCTTATTTTAGCAGCATATTAGCTGAGAAACTAAAGCTGAACACTTTCCAGGACACCGGAAAGAAGAAACCACAAGTTAATACTAAAGATAATTATTGGCTGGTTACCCCTCGATCGCAGAGTGCAATTCATAGTTGGTTCTCTGAATTAGCAGGAAATAAGCCACTTGCTATTTTGGCAAAAAAGGTATAAGTTTTTCTTACATTGTTTTAATTATGATCTTATAGAAATGAAGATGTTTGAGATAATGTTCAAGTATATACAGTGGAATCTCGGTTCTCGGTCTTAATTTGTTCCAGAAGGCTATTTCAGAAGTAATTTGTTTGAAAATGGAATAATTTTTTCCCCATTAGAAATAATGTAAATGGAATCAATCCATTCCAAACCCCCAAATAATTCCCCGTTTTACCCTTTCTTATAAACAATGCATGTCTAATGCAGCATCTTTGCTTGTTCATATATCACTGCCTCTGAACTGGCTAAACTGCTTTGTCTTTATCCAAATCAACAACAGGTTTTCTGCCTCTTCACTTGCCTGTGATCATTGTTTCTTTCATACCCTTAGCAACATTAGCATTCTTGATGGCCTCTTTATGTTTTAAAATTGTGTTAATGATTGATTTCACTAGCAAACACAGCATTCTCTCCTTTGTCATGTTGAGGTATCAGCAAGCAAGGGTTATCAGGTCAAAAACCTAAGTTTAGTTTCACAACCTAGACATTTTTTCTTTGAACAACTTGGTTGAGAACCAAATTATTCTAGATGGGAGACTCACATGAGGTTTGACCATATTTCTTTTCCCCAGTTTTCTCCCAAACTCAAAGTTTCAGTGCAGGTATACTGCACCAGGTATGTGCTATACATGCTATTTCCTCCTTATTTTGATGGGATGTGGTGCTTAGGACATCCATAGACCTAAACATCCACACAGTTCATGTGGACTTAAGGTAGAAACGGCTCTTAAATAAAAAACAGGACATAAGACGTTATTTCTATTACATTTTCAGTTTTCTTAACCCGGGATGTTGGAGGTGTGTTATGTAGAAACTAGAGGCCCAATGCATGAAATTCGTGCAAGAGTAGGCCTTCCTTCCCCCGGCTGCCAGCACCGTCTTCCCTCTGGTACCCGGGACCCAGGCTTCCCTCCAGCTGCCGGCAGACACCTGGGACCTGGGCTTCCCTCACAGCCCCAGCTTCGTCTGGAAGGATGGAAGGACGTTGGGAAGGACATGTAGTCTAATGAGCATATTACGCTTTTATTATTATGGATACTTGTTTAATGTTACTTCCTTGCCTTGGAAGGTAACCATCCAAATGATTTAAGCTAAGTCTCCTTTCTAACCAGTGGGATAAAGATAGTGATAGTGATTCTGTGTGTGCTTGAAAAATGTCTTTGAAAAAGTTTTAGAGCAAAATGGGCATGTTTGCTTATAGCTCCTGGCTTTTTGGAGTGGGAGTTGGGTGAGAGGGAGGGTCCTTTTAAAATCTTGCCTTTGGTCATTTTCCTCAAGTGGGAAATAATACATAGTTTAACAATCTTAACAATATAAACTGTCTTTTGAAATTTAGATGAGAGCTAGAAACCTCCCTGTTCGTCTTGATCTTTAGCTTCTTGCACACCTTTCAAAGAATCTGACAGGTCTTCTCATCTCCCCTGAAACCCTTTAGTTTTAAGGGTGCCCATCTTCACTCCTGATGGTAAGATTTCTTTGTCTGGCTTGGTGCAGACCTCAGAGGAGAGCTCCTTTGTTCATTCCTAAAGCAGCTCTTTGAAAAGAGTACCCACAGCTCCCATTGCCTTTATTTTGCCTGAGAGTCATAGCTTTGTGTTGCCTTCCATGGATTTCAGTGGTTAAAGGCAACTAAATCCTTGAAAAGCACAACAGTTAGCATAACCACCTCTTGCTACTCAGGTAGTGCCTGTCTCAACACAGCCTGAATCATGTGGCGTTTCTTTTCCAGTGGTGATCATGTGCTATGGGTGGGAGGGTGTGGAGGGCACCGGGGGAGAGACCTTGGTTCTTGTCTTCTTGAAAGAAAAATTTCAATCAAGACACAAAGTGTAGAAAAGCAAGCAAGAATTCATTGACAGCAGCAAAAACACACTTAGGACAGTGAAACAAGGGAGGGCTTAGAAGAAGGAACAGGAGAGCCTAGGCTGGGCTGACTTAGATCACTGGGAAGTCAGAGAAAAGGGGGCCTTGGAGACAGGTTCAGGGGGTTAACCCAGGACTAGCTGCCATTGCTCATTGCTCCCATGGTTGCAAGTCTCATGGGGTCCCTTGGAGCAGTGGTCGTCAACCTTTCAGACCTCATGGACCACCAGTGGTCCACAGACCACTGGTTGGCGACCCACCGACCGACTGACCAACCGACAGACCGTTGCCTTAGAGGTTAGGGGATACATAGGGGGAAGTAGGAGGGGCCAGGGAGGGGAAGTGGAGAGGGGGAAGGGAATGGCACCGGCATGCTCCCTGGAGAGAGAGGGCGCTGGGACCTTCATTTTTAGGGGTTTTTAAGGCTGGGCATTTAAGGGGGGTCTTTGAGAGGATCAATAGACTATTCATCAGCCTTATGCTGATGTACAAAATGAGATATATTCTCTCTGTCCTTGGGTGTGGCTGGCAAACTGCACTAGTTGGATTTCTGTTATTTGTCTCCCAGAGTGGGGTGTTTTAAGCTACTTACTCTCTGGTTGGGGAGGAGAAGTGCAAACCATTTACTCTTAAGTGTCCTTGGTTTAGGGAAGATAGGATTTAATTAGGTGGCCACAAACTACTGTTTAACTCTCTGTCTCAGTTTTCCTATTCCGCTTGTCCTGAAATTTTCCTAGCTTCTTACTGTTCTATAACACATGTACCACTTGGGCCCACTGTGGCCTATGCAAGGTATCTGGAGGCCAGACAAGTCAAAGGACATCCTTCCATAGTCGATAGTCATTGGCTTTCTAACAATAGTCCATACCCTCCATGTCAGATAGTATCTCCAACTCCTACATGGCCAGACTGACATCTTTCTTTCTAGGTTTTCCTTTTTAAAACCTTTCGGAATACATTTTGTGGATGTATCCTGGAAGGAAGTACTGGTGAGGAATTGAGGCCCTTGCTTTAGGGGTGCAGTGGTCTCATCTTTTAGATGGGAGATGGATTAGGGTGCAGTGTAGTAGCCATTGTTCTTCTCTCTTTATTAGGAGCTGCCTCTGGCCAAGTCAGGTGTTCCTCAAGTAAGTCCTGGCATTAATTTTTTGCAAGGTTAAAAATATTTTCTTGACAGGAAACCAAGATGGCGGCATAGGTAAACACCGGAAATTGCTGCCTCGCACAACCACTTCAAAAATACAACTAAAAGACAAAACGGACATCATCCAGAATCACAGGAAGGCTGGCTGAGTGGAAATTCTACAACTAGAAGGAAAGAGAAGAGCACTCTGAGACTCAGAGGAGGTGCGGAAGTAAAGTGCAGAAGGAGGCACACATGGAAAGGGCTGGCAACTGAGGACACGGTTGTCTTTTTCAATTGGGAGGGAGTCTCAAGCTCCCAACTGCTCTGAACTGCAGTTCCAGGTGAGTCTCTGGGGGACCCAGACTGATATGGGGAGAAACTGGACTATCTGGCATCGGTCGGAACTCGAAGGCGGCTTTCTCTCAGAGGTACTTACAGTGATTACCAGGACACTGAGACTCGGGGCCTCTTAGGGTAGGGCTAAGGATCAGCCATAGCTATTTGCTCCACCCTGTTGATCCCCTGAGACCCCGCCCCACTCAAGCTGTGCACAGAGGCTTTTGCATATGAAAGGCCTGGCCCTTTGCAATCTGAAAATTACCTAACAAACTGCAGCTGGGTCAGAGAGACCCAGAACTTCCAAAAGAAGGCCCAAGGCCCCACAGCACCTTGCATTGCATCACAGCTGGGCCTCATCTGGACACCTCCAAACCCCAAACAAAGAAGAGAAATCTGCATATCTCTCCATAGCTCCTGCTGGGTAGCCTCAGGCAGAACTAAATTAGCACCTCCTTAGAGATCCAAGAGCCAGTGTACCCAGTGGTCAGAGTGGGACCATCCAGATTACAACTCCTCAGATCCGTAAGGGACACACTCAGGGGGAAGACTCAGTGAGCATCAAAGCCCCACTGAAGCAAGTCTTGCCCCAGAAGGCTGTCTCCAGCACAGAAATTCTCCCACTGTAGACACAGCTGATTCTCACAGCCAATTGGCCTGGAGGTCAATTCCTCCCAGTGATACCTACAACAATCAAGGCTTAACTACAACAAGACTGTGCACAAAGCCCACAAAGGGGTGCACCAAGAGTGTCCACCTCAGGTAATTGCGGCGGCTGAGCCACTGGGCCCTATAGGACACCTAACACAGAAAGCCACTCTATCAGCACAGGGAAGCATAAAAAATGTGGAGACAAAGAAACAGGACACAAATGACAGAAATGGAGGAAAGAAAACTACTGGATATAGAGTTCAAAACCACACTTTTAAGGTTTTTCAAGAATTTTCTAGAAACAGCCAATAAATTTAGTGAGACCCTCAAGAAATCTAGTGAGACCCTTGAGGTTATGAAAAAGGACCAACTAGAAATTAAGCATACACTGACTGAAATAAAGAATATTATACAGAGTTCCAACAGCAGACTAGAGGATCGCAAGAATCAAGTCAACGATTTGAAATACGAAGAAGCAAAAAACACCCAACCTGGAAAGCAAAAAGAAAAAAGAATCCAAAAATATGAAGATAGTGTAAGGAGCCTCTGGGACAACTTCAAGCGTACCAACATCCGAATTATAGGGGTGCCAGAAGAAGAGAGAGAGCAAGATACTGAAAACCTATTTGAAGAAATAATGACAGAAAACTTCCCCTACCTGGTGTAAGAACTAGACTTACACATCCAGGAAGCACAGAGAACCCCAAACAAAAGGAATCCAAAGAGGACCACACCAAGACACATCATCATTAAAATGCCAAGAGCAAAAGACAAAGAGAGAATCTTAAAAGAAGCAAGAGAAAAACAGTCACTTACGTACAAGGGAGTACCTATACGACTGTCAGCTGATTTCTCAACAGAAACTTTACAGGCCAGAAGGGAGTGGCAAGAAATATTCAAAGTGATGAATCCCAAGAACCTACAGCCAAGATTACTTTACCCAGCAAAGCTATCATTCAGAATTGAAGGTCAGATAAAGAGCTTCACAGATAAGGAAAAGCTAAAGGAGTTCATTGCCACCAAACCAGTATTATATGAAATGCTGAAAGGTATCCTTTAAGAAGAGGAAGAAGAAGAAAAAGGTAAAGATACAAATTATGAACAACAAATACACATCTATCAACAAGTGAACCTAAAAATCAAGTGAATAAATAATCTGATGAACAGAATAAACTGGTGAATATAATAGAATCAGGGGCATAGAAAGGGAGTGGACTGACTATTCTTTAGGGGGAAAGGGGTGTGGGGGTTGTGGAAAGAGACTGGACAAAAATCGTACACCTATGGATGAAGACAGTGCGGGGAGGGGGTAAGGGCAAAGGGTGGGGTGGGAACCAGGTGGAGGGGAGCTATGGGGGGAAAAAGAGGAACAACTGTAATAATCTGAACAATAAAGATTTAATTAAAAAAATATTTTCTTTTTCTTCTTCTTCTTCTTCTTCTTCTTTTTTTTTTTTTTTTGTTGTTGTTAATCCTTACCTGAGGATATTTTTCCATTGATTTTTAGAGAGAGTGGAAAGGAGGGGGAGAGACAGAGGGAAACATGGATGTGAGAGAGACACATTGATTGGTTGCCTCCCGCATGTGCCCCAACCAGGACCGGGGATCAAGCTGCACCCAGCATGTGCACTTTATTGGAATCAAGCCCAGGACCCTTCAGTCTGCGGGCTGACACTCTATCCACTGAACCAAACTGGCTAGGCCAAAGATGTTTTCATTACAAAACCATTGAAGGTATTTTGAAGTATTCATTTCTTGGACTTTTCAAAAGTTTGTCCCCCTCCCCTCTCCAGCATATAATCTTCTTGGGACAGTAAAATCTCTTTCTGAGTTGGGTGAAAGAATGCATTCTCCACATTTTCTTCATATTAGAAAGTTTAAATACTTCTTTAATTTCTGGTATTTATCTGTGAGATGGCTGAATGCAGAAGACCTTCATTTTCGTGCTAAGATCATGAATCATCTTCCAGCTCTGATAGAGAGTTCAAAATAGTTCTATATGGGATGGATCAGGTTTCTGGGCCTGGGTTCTGTTACTATAAAGCTCTACAGCTCCCAAGTATGTAGCCATGGAGAGGGAAACAATGGCCTGCGAAGGGCCTTTTAACTCAGACAGGCTCAAGGCTGGATTTGGAGAAGGAGACTTTTGGCCCCTAAGGATACCCTTCTGGCTCTTGCACAGTTCACTATTTCTGATCAGGTATTCACTTCAGGTGTCTGTGGTCTATGGGTTTCCTCTGGCCTATACCACTGTTTAGTGAGCCGCTGATGCTGATGGTAGCATTTATCCAAGGGGAAGGGTGATGCCAGGATGGAAAACCATCACATGCTAGGTGTCTTAGTTTACTTTTGGTACTTACATGCAGGTCTGGCTTGATTCAGACACCAAGCAGCTGCAGGGGATTGCCTAGGTTCAGCTACAAGTTCAAGTCAGACGGTTTCTTTGTTCAAAATAGAATCCATCACTGTAAGGAAGTTCACTTGGGTAAATATATTTTCCTTCCTGAGTTCGCCCGAGCTGTAAATCGACAAATCCATCAATGTGTGTCTTTTCCTTAATTAACTTTCTTCACGTATATTCTTCTACATCCTAAAGCCCTTGATTTGAGTCAACCATTTCTTAGGGCTCTGCCATAGGAGCAATGAGTGAAACTAGAGGTTTGCCTTCTGCTGTTATCCTAAGACCTGTGGCTCTGTTTTGTTTGCTATTTCATCTAAACATTTCACTTGTTCAAAAACTTTTTGTTTCCTCCTGTCAATTTCTATTCAAAAGAAATACTTTAGGCATTTATAAAAGATGCGATCATTTCTTTGGAGATGCTAACTTTACTTTTTGCATTTGCCTATTTTTTTAGGTCATGGTATTATAATCTTTGGTATGTTTGATTAAGAGGCAGCCAGACCCCCAAACTGTGTTCTGAGTGAGAAGCAGCCACTCAGATCTTGAACTGAATAAATGATAAAAATCCCGAGCTTTATGCCCCCTGAAAGATGTGCCTTGTAAGTTACATTTTCAAGAGATTTTTTTTTAAATTAATGCTCACCTGAAATTATTTTTTCCATTGATTTTTAGAGAGAGTGGAAGGCAGGGAGGGGGAAAGAAAGAGAGAGAGAGAAACATCGATGTGTCTCTTCGATTGGTTGCTTCTGTACATGTCCTGACTCAGGCCAGAGAACACACCTGCAACCAAGATACATGCTCTTGACCGGGAATTGAACCCGAGACCCTCAGGTGTGCAGGCCAGTGCTGTATCACTGAGCATCCTGGCCAGGGCTCCAGACATTATTTTGTGAAAATGTATTGCTGTGGTCTGCAGAAAGGAGGCCTTACAGCTGTGGCCTGTAATCTTCAGCTCCCGTTCAGTCAGCTTTGGACATGTAGTTGCCTCGCAGGGGTATGTTCTCAAGTCAGCACCCAAGGCAGGAACTGCACATGACCACAAGTCTGTTAAAGGGCCCATAAGAGACAGTATGTGGACACACTGCTTCTCAGTGCAGTCAGCTTTCCTTCAGTGTTGGAGCAGCTTGATGCTCTTTGGTAAGACCCAGGTGATTTCAAGTGAAGTCAGATGACATTGCTTTGTTTTATAAAAAATACTTAGCTTTCATTTCTGGGATCACACTTTGTATCAAATATATGGATAGTTAAATTTATAACATATATATGATATAAAAATCCACTGACTAAACGAGGATTTGGCTAACTAAGAGAAAAATGTTGTGCTATATGAACCGGTTAGCTGTTTTGAAGCCTTGATTTCTAGCACAAAATCAAACAAGAGTGTGGGGCAGAGAGACTGAGGCTCAATGTCCATGGTGTGGTATTTAGGATCCTCTTAGGAGAGGTCACGTTCATGGCTTGAAAACAATTTGGCTGGCATGGAGAAATCTTTGGAATTGGCAACAAAAACAAAACTTGTTATAATTTTGATATGTAATTCTTTTGCTTTACCTTTCCAACCACTCGGTGAGATGGACCTGGTTGGTATTATTGCATTCATAAATGAAGAGCCTGGCAGGGATGGGTTTAGCCAAACAGGCTGGTGCCACGAATGGAACAGAGAGGCCCTCGTCCCTCCTGTGGGAAAGGGGGTTAGGGGAGCTGCCTGCCTCTCCCTGTCACTGCTTTGGTCCTGCTGTGTCATAGTCGGTAAACCTTTGTCCACTCTTACTCTAGTTTCAGAAATGTATATAGATAAGCGAGGCTGTCCTAGGGTATTTATGAGGAATTCTAAGAGTGGATTAACTCTTTCAAATCATGTGGCGGTACATGGGGATACTAATTTGCTAAATAGTACCTTTGTGGTCTAAAGGAAATAGTTAACTGCCCCAAGTGCCGACTTTCCATCAGCGAATTAATTACCCACCTATTTCTAGCTCAGTTTTTATTAGGCAAATTCACTGTTCCATCATTTTAGCCTCTATTTTAAATTTTGGGCTAAAGGCACTTTTAAAAGCTTTGTGGAAATTGTTAATTCTTATGAAATGGTACAGTCGAAAAACTTTATACAAAAAAGTGTTCTTGAAAGAAATGTAGAGTGGGGACAGTTTCTCACTTGACCTGTCTGTTTCAATTTTGGGATAAACTCAGAGGACTGTCATGAAATTATTATATTTTTCTATTTTGTTGACACGATGAGTAGCTTTCAGCATCTGACAATTTGCAGGTAATTTGTTTTTATAAGGAAGAAAGCACAGCTGATAAAATTGTGTTGCCAATGTGCTAAACATAGTTTTGATTATATTTCCTTAGTGAAAATTTGCTTAAAATCCATTAAGGATATACTTTTTAAAGGAGGATATACTTTCTTATAACCAGAAGGAACTTAGAGTCTCTTTCTTTTGCTAATGGTGAACATAATATGTGATTATTATAAATATGTTATTTCTTTTCAGGTTCCCATCCTTAGTAAAAAAGAAGATGTTTTTGCATATTTAGCTAAATATTCAGTGCCAATGGTTCGAGCAATGTGGCTTATCAAGATGACTTGTGCCTATTATTCTGCTATTTCTGAAGCTAAAATTAAGAAACGCCAGGCTCCTGATCCCAATTTGGGTGAGTGAGAGAGTATGATATGCTGCATGTTTCATTACTGATTCTACACGCAGTTGCTGCTTGCGCTCTCTGTACACAGTGCTGCAAGGTGAGTACTGAGCAGGTTCATGGTGAGGCCAAAAGTCACTCATGGTGCGGGTGGAGAAGCTGGTCGTTGCCCACATACTCCCAGGATCTTGATTCCATCAGCAGGTTCTAGGGATATTGCTTCAGATATGTCCTGCATCCGTACACTTCACCACCTTCTTTATGACTTTATAATAATTTCTTACTGTATTTAGGATGAACGCCATATTCGTTGCCATGGCATCGAGGCCATTTATGATTTAACCTCCCTTCCCAAGATGTCCCGGCCAGACTGCTGTCCCTCTGTCGTCACTCCTGCCGTGCTCCATCCTTCCTCAGGGCTTCTGCATTTTCTCCTCCTGGTACTTGGGTTGCTCTTTAGGGCGTTTGCATCCCTCCTCCTCTTCACTGAGGCTTTGGCTCAGATGTCATTTCCTCAGCAGGATTTCTCTGGACACCTGGCTAATAGCATTTCCTCTCTCTCCTCTTCCTCCCAGTTACAGTCTCAAGTGTTCTTACTTTATCCATAACACGCTTCGCTGTCTGAAATTTTCTTTAAAAGTTTTGTGCCTGTCACCCTCTCCCCTCTCCCCCACCTCCCACGCGTGCACACAGCACACATACTGGCTCAAGACAGGTGTTTACTGAATGAACTGAAGGTAGGGCATTTCTAGTGAGAGTCTTCACTCTTCGGTGACTAGACAGTGACTCCTTGAGGTGATGCTGAAGCGAGCTTTCTAACAGGCTTGATACTGCACTAGAAATGTGCACAGGGAATTGTACATCATGATGTCCATTTCAAAATTAAGTATTCAAATAATTCCTTATGAAATTAAAACATGTTGTTTATGATTGTGTAAAGGAGACCCAGCTGTGACGCTCTGAGGGACAGGGGCAGAAAGCACATGTCCTCAGATGCCAGGCAGGTGGGCTGTGAAGTGGTTGTAAAAGCATAAAAACATACATCCAAAACAAACAAAAAATGCATTTATGGTTGTCCTTTTGAGTTCAGTGTATCTTGTGTGTTAAAACAAATAAGCAAAACTAAACTGCACTTAAAACATCACTGTGTGTGTGTGCGTGTGTGTGCATGTGCGTGTGTGTGTGTGTGTGTGTGTGTGTGTGTGTGTGTGTCCAGGGGAAAAGAGCTGGGAGGAAATTACCCACAATTAATGTGCTTGTCTTTGAGTGCTGTCTCAACTTTGTATTACTTCTGCACTTCTGACTTGAATATTTTTCATTAGCTTATTATTTTATTGAGGGAAATAAAAGAAATGCTGCCTTTTTATACTAAAGTAATCTATATAATAAAAGCCTCAGTGACTGTTATGGCGGAACGACCAGTCGCTATGATGTGCACTGACCACCAGGGGGCAGATGCTCAACGCAGGAGCTGTTCCCTGGTGGTCAGTGTGCTCCCACAGGGGAAGCGCTGCTCAGCCAGAAGCTGGGCTCACGGCTGGCTCCGCGGCAGCGCTAAAGAGCAGTGAGCCAAGCGGTAAGGAGCAGCGTGTAAGGAGCAAGGGTCCCAGACTGTGAGAGGGATGTTCTATTGCTGGCTCACAGGTGGACATCCCTGAGCGGGTCCTGGACTGCAAGAGGGTGCAGGCTGGGCTGAGGGTCACCCCCCCCCCCCTACATGAATTTCGTGCACCAGGCCTCTAGTACATTCTCATAATGGTATTTTCAAATGGTGTTGACATAGATACAGTGTTCAAGTTTCTCTCTCCCTTCTCTGAGTTTTCCTTCTTGGATTTTCCTTCATTCATTGTGTGTATGTACACACACATCACACAAACACGTAGGCAGTTCTTCTTTATATATCTGCATCTCCATAACTATTGCACTTATTAGTGCTTCTCCCCAGAGCCTACACATCTGGTGACTCACTGCTCACCTCTGCTTTGATGACTAACAGACATCTTAAACCTAATGTGTATCAAATCCAACTCTTGACTTCTCGCCATCAGCACTCTTGCTCCTTCCTCAGGCTTTTCCTCCTCAGCCAATGTACATGTGTCCCTGGGTGGATGAAGGTAAGAGCCATATTGTCATGCTGGGCTTTTATCATTCAAAACACTGCATTCAGTCCCTCAGCAATCCTGTCAGCTTTTCTTTCAAAATAGAATCGGAATCTGACAACGTTGTCCTCAGCCCCTGCGGCTACTGCTCTGGCCCCAACCCCTCACCCCCTGTGCCTGTGCCATTGCGGGGCTTCCAGCTGATCTTGTGTTTGTTCTTCTCTAATGACAGCTTTCTGCTTTGTAGCTAAGACATAAATGATTCCATACTTGGAATCCTCTCATGGGTCCTTCTCGCACTCAGATGTCTATGTCAGCCGACACCAGCGGTCCACACGTGACTTTCACCTCAGGCCATGACCCGTGGGTACCTCTCTCCCTCCCACCTCCAAGGTGTCCACCTGCCTGCTCCCCCACTGCTGTCAGCTCACATGGCACTTCATTGTCTTGGTTTCTTTTTGTCATAGCTGTTCATACCACCTCATGTTATATTTTAAATTAATTTTGGGTCACTAATCCGCAGCTATGATGGTTCTCTATGAGAAATGTCAGATTGGTTGAGTCTTGGATCTCCTAGGATGGTGTCTGGCATGCAGAAGGTGCTCAGTAATTTTTAAGATAGTAAATGAATACTTAGACTGAAGTATTTATGTGTCTGTGTATATCTTTATTTTTCCATTTGCCCCAATTCATAATCCTGGAAACTTTCAGCATCACCAGCTATAATGGAGAGCCTACTCCTCTATCCCTTAGATTCTCTTCATATTTTTTTGTAACTTGTTCCTGCCAGTGTTTTCCTTAATGCTTAATTTAATCTGATTTTAACTGTCACAGAAAGATAAAAAAAGATGATCATGCAGAAATGATTCTACCAAATGAAACATGAAACAAGTTTAGAACAAATAAAAGTTTGATAGATCCTCATCATTTGTGAAGAACACAAATGTAGTTGGGGTTTTTAGGAATCTCTCTCTATATAAAAGCCTAAGCGACCGAACGACCAGTTGACCAGTTGCTATGATACGCACTGACCACCATGGGGAAGACGCTCAATGCAGGAGCTGCCCCTTGGTGGTCAGTGCGCTCCCATAGCCAACCTCCCTTAGTCCCTCCCCCAGGCTGCTGGCCAGGCTGAGTGACCCCACCCGTGCATGAATTTGTGCACCAGGCCTCTAGTTTCAGATAAGAGTGTATCACCAAAACCATATGATTTCCTCTACCAAATAAGAGGAGGGAAGCCTGGTTCTAATTTCTTGTTAAGAGCATCATGGAATTTTTGTTATATTCATTACATTTACCATTCTTTTTTTTTAAATTATTTTTTTTAATCCTCACCCGAGGATATTTTTCCATTGATTTTAGAGAGAGTGGAAGAGAGAGAGAAAGACAGAGAGAAACATCGATGTGAGAGAAACACATCTATTGGTTGCCTCCTGTACACGCCCTGACCAAGGCTCGGGCTGGGGAGGAGCCTGCAACCAAGGAAGTGCCCTTCACCGGAATCTAACCCGGAACCCTTCGGTCTGCAGGCCGATGCTCTATCCACTAAGCCAAATCGGCTAGACAGTCCTCTCAACCTTGACCCACAATCTGTGTTCCCTTTAATTGTCATGCCTTTTAAAATCTGGAGTAGTTCTTCCACCTTTCTTTTTCTTGACCTTGAGGTTTTTGGGGAGGACAGGCCAGTTATTTTGTAGACTGTACCTGGATTTGCACTTGTCCAGCTCCTTGAGATTAGATCAGGCGATCACTTTTGGTGGATGCCAGGAAGCAGTGTTGTTGCAGTTCATCATATCGCATTGTCTCCATACTGTTGGGATACTTTGATCAGTTGGGTAAAGTGGTGCCTACCGGATTTGTCCGAAACAAAGTTACTGTTTTATGCTTTGTAATGAATAAGTAATTTAATTCTGTAAATGTCCAATTTATCTCTATTCTGACATGAGTTTTTAAAGTGCAAATGTAACATACTATCTATACTATATGAAAAGAGCATGTTTCAAACATCTCATATTGGTTTAATGTCAGCCTGCTACACCTGGTAACCTCTTACTTTCTGCTTTGTCTTCAGCACCTTCCTTAGCTTCGTGAAGCAGATTATACAGTACATGTGAAAGCATTTGGCTGTGGAGGCAGAGCCATAAAGTAGCAGATTTCACAGTCCACGTAGGCCATACAGCCAGCAAGTACACAAATATATATGTGTTGAGCTGGATTAAGTTGCACACATTTCAGAAGTTTAACTTGCAGTAATAGGTTCTGTGTTCTCGCTTTGATAGAGAAAAGAATCATTCAGCACATTGGGGGTGAGATTCACTATCAGGTGTCACCCTTTTCTGGGGTTGGTTTTATGGCTGCTTTGTCTTGATGGTTGTTCTTTGTAAAGTTTTTTTAATAGACATGGCCTTCATTGCTTTGTAATAGAAACATATGTTTTATTTTCAGTTCCCACGTTCAGAGTTAGAACAGTGCTATGAAATGGCACTGCTGCTTGATTTTATTAAAGAGAGTTTCCCTGAAGTTAGGTGGACTCACAGAAACAAAGGGGCAGGCCCTGGTGTGTAAATTCTTTAAACATAGCCACACAGAAATCTTCACTACCATTCTGAGAGTTACAGACCGAAAATGTAGATTAAATGGGTGCTGCCCTGGGAGCTCTCAGCCAGCACAGACACACCCGGTAGTGTGGACCCAAAAGTGAGAGGAGAGGGGGCTGGGCTTACTGGTGAGGTTTTATATGTAAATTCAAGGAGGGTAAAGGAATATTTGACTTGGATATATTCTAACTTCAGGGCAGCAATTCTAAAATAGAGATGAATTAGGGAAGCTTGGAGGAAGAGGTTGGAATATTTTGTCCTTATGAGTCCTAAAAAAATAAAATACAGAAAAGGAAATGGTTAGACATGATGTTTA